TCTCTCTCTCTCTCTTCTCTCTCTCTCTCTCTTGTCGTGTGTGTGTGTGTGTGTGTGTGTGTGTGTGTGTGTGTGTGTGTGTGTGTGTGTGTGTGTGTGTGTGTGTGTGTGTGTGTGTGTGTGTGCAGCAAGGCTACTCCGAATGATAGCTAGGGAGCCTTAATAATACTGCAAGCGATTGCTGTCGCTCGCCCAGTGGTTACAGCTATTTACAACTACGTTGAGATACAACGACCCTATGGTGAGATATAGCCAGCTGTATAGTCAGCACAGTCCACTCCTCGCAGCTTTGTTGCTAACATCAGACCTACCCGTAAACTTTGACACCTATCTCTCTAAATCCACACCGTGATAACTATTGGGTTTAGAGCATCGGCGATGAGGGTTGTCCGCCCCCAGCGGTAGTCGCAGGGGGTGTGTTTGTTGTCACTGTCATTAAGGTGGAACAATGGACACCCCAGGTCGTCATCCCAGGGGCATATCCACCTAGTTCCGACCAGAGTTGAGGCGGGCAGTGAGTCGTCGCTGTGTATAGATATGAGCAAACGAACAATAGTCAGTCATCTATCCACACATGCACGCGCACACACGAGCACGCACGTGCATATGCACATATATACAGGACACACACATATGCGCGAGCCTACGTATACAAGCATATGAGCGCGGACGCGCACTCAAACCCCACCCCCACACGCACGCTCGCACACACTTACACACACGTACACACACTCACACACACTAGCTCACACACATACGCAAAAATACACACGCATACGCACACAACACACACAAACGTACGTGTACATACATCGACATGCACGCACGCACACACTCACACACAAAAATACACATACATATACGCACGCGCACACGCACACAACACACACAAACGTACACACACAGACACGCCCCACCCCCCACACACACACACATACATGCACTCGGTCAGGACTCAAGCTGGGGAAATGCGTCCACGCCGTGTCGCACATTGCGTAAATTGCACAGCTTGTTCTTGTTAAGGATGACACCGCCATGCATGTATGTGTAATTTTAACATTAAACTGTATCACTGGTCCCCTATAAATAACGTAGAAGAAAAGCATATAGGGATCCCGCATAAAAGAAGATTCCCGATGACGCGAAACACTGTACGTGTAGCAAAATCAAGGAAACAAATGACGCCACGAAATGTAGCACGATCGCATACACAGATCATGTGCGTGTGTGTAGGGATAGTATCAGGAGTGAATAATAATAGATCTAATATAGGTAATATCGATCCAAATAATATATTTATAATATAATAGATATATATATATATATAATATAATAGATATATATATATAATATCGATCTATATAAATCTAAGATAGGTAATATAGATCTAATATATCTAATAATATTATCTATTATTATTCACTTCTGATAATATCAAGAGTCCATAATAGAGATGGACTCTATTATGGACTATTATGGACTATTATGGACTCTTGATAATATGTATCTGCACGTACGGAATACCAATGATTATATCTTTTTAACGTTATTTTTCCGTTTTTGGTTCTATGGGGCGTGTACGCGGGTCTCCGTTTTCATACGACTTGCTAGGAGTCGGGCATGAACACGTGATTCGCCACGTATTTGTTATACACATTGGCATTTCCTAAGCATTTACATATGATGCTACAATAATAAATAATAATTATGATAAATACTAATAGGCCGTACCATCAACTATAGGCCTGTATCAAACCGTGTGATACATATACATACAGTCCTGGTTATCTAGCACGAGGGCCTGTTCTCGGAGCAAAATGCATAGATATAATATAGATATAATATAGGTATAATATAGGCCTATAGCCTATATACCTACTGTGAGCTCGTCTATGTTATAAAAATTCACTACAGCTCATTTGTATTGCTACTTTCATAACATTTCTCCAGCAGACATAAACAGTCTTACGAAGCTAGTGCTTTCGAATGTTTACAGTGTTTACACATCCGGGACACAGCCGAGCCGACCGCAGTTTTCATTAACAGTCATTTCCTATGATAAAACAAATTACAATTTTGTATTCGATGTTTGTTCAGTACAAAGTTGTGAAGTTTGTTTAAATCATATGTTATCTACATTACTAATGCAATCAGCAAACATATATAGTGATTTTTTTCAGGGACCATTTGCGCTAGCGTAGGCTTAGCGTTCTCGGTCGCATCGCTCTATGTGTATCTGTACGCAGAAACTCTCTCCGAGCGAGTTTTCAAAATATTCAACTTCGGAGCACATTTCTGGCGCAATGAGAACATTTCGTGATGTTTTCATACTGCAAGTATGCTCACAATAGGTGCATGTAGGCATTTTGTTGCGAGTTTTTTTCCCCATTTTAAAGCATTATAAACGCTCGACGGAGTTGGTCATAGCATATACACACGTCTGTTAACAATTTGTCTATTGGTCGCGCGTGCCAATGACACGTCGCGTAATCTACCACTAAACTTGTCGCGCCACAATCGTCAGCATATTATCTGGAGTACATAATGACCCATGTTCGTGTTACTATCAGAGCTTCCTCGTGATAGATTATTGTATGTTTTATGATGGATATATTAGCGATCTGTTACAATGGATCTCAGATATTACATGGTGCATCGACACCACAGTCGTCCACGACGCATAGGCCTAATATTCTAACTATTTATTCGCGCACCTTATATGTACGGCATGGTAAGCGCCAGCGGTATTTAATTAGCGCGCCCCGTGGGAGGTATCTGGTGGAGACGGTGGCTGTCGGAAACAACTGCTCACACCCCCTGTTACAGGTATGCGTCAATCCAGGAGCTGGCCTTGGACCTGCCATTCTTATATATCGCGAATAACGGGGGAAGGCATCGTCGAGTAGGCCTACAACAGGCACGACACGCGTGTAGCGGCGGTATAGCTCTACTCGTACTCGCACGAAGCATTGCTTCGATTTTCTCAAGCGGGGCACTGATTGGATGTTGTGGCCGTTATGCGTATCACATGGTACGCAAACTGTACTACAGGATGACTTTGTTTCCCGTGTTGCGGTGATTTGGTGCGTTTTTTACTTTTTTATTTGTATGATTTTTTTACTCTGCATTCATTACTTTAGCTTTGTACAAATTTCATAAAATTGAAGCGTGTGTGTGGTTGATCATCACGAGCACAGACCTTGATTTTATAACTTGAATAGAGCACCATTTTAAACAGCGATGTTCGATTAGATCGAATGGTAAAACTCGAAGTTGTTTAATTAAAAAGTAATCATATCTATTCACGTGTACGTTGTTTGGACGAATTAGTGGGTTTCTGTTTGAGCAGTCCGTTTCTCAGTTTAGTCAGTATAGATTGCATACAGAGCACATCTGGGGAACCCCTTGCGGTTTTAGGGAGAATTTAATAATTATTATTCATGGCTGCAGGCTCATCCAACACACGGCGAATGACGTGTGCCTGCCGCGTTTACACGCACGTGCTTAATCGTATATCTACTCATACCGCGGCAAAACTATGGCGTATTAAATATGCTCAACTGCGCGTTGCTTTGTGAAAGCGGTTCGCATCGCACGCACAGTTAACGTCTCCTGCTGTACAATGCCATATCGTATAGTGTGCGCGTATGTCACACAGTCACTCATGGTCGGCAGCGGACGTCGCACTTAACGGCCACCGCAGCACGCGCACGCGTTTAGTCCTCCATCACAATAGACCCCGAAGGCGTGTTATTTCTAAAAACATTTACGGTTTCAAAATCAGCTCGTTCGGTCATCGGGATATTTAAATAAGAAGGACGCTCCGCGGCTATTGTGAAAGCAAGCGTTTGCCCACTCCGGCCTCGCCAAATACGCCAGTGTTTCAAACACATTTACCAAATCGCATCTACATAAATATTAGTCTAGGAGACGATATTGCGAGAGCTATGTGTCAAAGAAAATAGTTCGTCGAGTGCTAGGATCCCGCCCGGCGTTGTATCAATACTGGCACGGCGCGCCTTTATGATCTTCCTGCGAAGTTTTTATTGCATATTGACATAAATAGAGAAGACATTTTAATATTTTTAGCATCACATTTGCGCGCATTCAAGTTCTTCCGAGAACCTCTAACGTGACACACGCATTCGCGGGCAGCTCCGCAGAAGACGTATATTAGACGTATATTAGACGTTATGTAGTATAGTCACGGACGTTTGTAACACAGCCTTCATACAAAGAGTCCGGCTCCAGGGAACCGCAGTACGAGTGGGAAGTTGGAAGACGTCCCTACTTATCAGGAGATCTGCGAGGGTAGTGGGAGCGTCTGTGGGGGCGACGAGGTATAGAGTAGAAATACACTCAAGTCTGTTTATAAAAATGGCTCAGAAAAACCCCCACTCACCCAAATATCCTTTATAGGCAGATGACTGTTCTGCGAAAGGTAATTTTAACAGCATATGGGCATGTTCCCTTTCTATATAGTGGCGTCCGCTAACACGGGTTTAACTGTGGATGAGTGACGTCGGGGATGTGAGCGGTTCCGACTACGCGCGGGGGAGGGGTAGTTAGCGCAAGGGGTTAGCACAACAAAACCTATCTATATTGACTATAGATAAAACTATATAGAACTGGATAGAACTATAGTGACGCGGAAACAGCAAAAAAGAGAGTGAGGAACTCTTTACATAAGTTCATAAATTCATTGTACACGTTGTTGTGAGAATGCGCAACCTGTGAGGTGAGCGCATGGTGAGACGAGGAAGGATGAGATCTAAACAGTTCGAGACGCAGCGTCTCCCGCCTACCTTTCATAGTCGTGTCTGCAGTAGAGGCGGCGGTCGCGGCTGTAGCAGGACTTGGTGAGCGGGACACAGCAGACGCTACATTGCAGGCACGTCTCGTGCCACGTGTCGTCCATCACCTTCATCAGAAATCGGTCCTCAATCGGATGTTGACAGCCGGCGCATATCTCCTTCATCTTGTGCGGTATACCTGCGCGCAACACGCGAGTCGACAGGTAAGCGAGGCGCAACATGGACATACAGCGTATGCGCAGATATATCACACGTACTTGTCAACGGCGCAGGCATGCCGGTAGCAGAGTATACTACTCCAGCCGCTGGCATGCTCGACCCTGAGTAGCTTCTACCGTATGTGATCACGGATCACGTGGCAGACATAATTAAAAATAAAAATCATACCGTCGTAGTAACGTTGTTGTTGTTGTTGTTGAGTTGTTGTTGGAGTGTTGTTGTTGGTTGTATTTTATGATTATTATTGATTATTATATTATTTTGATTGATTATATTATCATTACTATTATTGATTTAATTATATTACTTATTATTATTATTATGTATTATTATTATTATTATTATTATAGAGAGTAGGTAGGTAGCAGTAGAGCTAAGTTATGGATAGCGACATCAGCCGGCGGGACGCCGGACGGTCGGCGGAGCGCCCTACCGCACTACAACTATCAATAACAACCACAACAAGCAAAACACCAACAACAGACACAACAACAACAACAGGTTACTACGACGGTATGATTGTTATGGTTTTGAATTATTCGCTACGGTGTGTCGCGCCAGCTGCGTCGGTGTGGTATGTGTATATGTGTGCTGTTTGTGTGAGTTGTGTGCGTGTGGGTATGTATGTTTATTTTGTGTGTTGTTTGTGTGTGGTTGTCGTGGTGTGTGTGTGTGTGTTGTGTGGTGGTGTGGTGTGTGGTGTGTGTAGTGTGTGTGTGTGTTGTGGAGTTTAGCAGAGCAGGCGTCACAGCAGCAGCACGACAGCACACGACTAGCGCACACACACAGCGACACACACACACAACCACACAGCACACATCAGCACGACCGGAGACAAACACAAAAATATACATCACATACGCACACGCACACAACTCAGCCCGATAAGCACGAACCATATAGCACATACACCACACACCGAGCGTGGGCATAATTAAAAATAAAAATCATACCGGCGTAAGTAAACGCTGTTGTTGTTGTTCGTTGTTGGTGTGGTGTGTTGTTGTTGTTTTGTTGTTTTTGTGTTGTTGTCTGTTATCTGCTAGTGTATTTATGTATTATGTCCATATTGATTTAATATTAGTAGAGTATAGTAGTTAGTAGTAGTAGTATAGTAGTAGTCAGTAGTAGTAGTAGTTAGTAGTAGTATTAGCTACGTAGTAGAGTAGTAGTAAGTGGCTGGTGGTAAGTAGTCAGTTAGTAGTAGTAAGTAGTAGTAGTAGTAGTAAGTATGGTGGTGTAGTAGTAGTAGTAGTAGTATAGTAGTAGTAGTAATAGTAGTAATAGTAGGTAGTAGTAGTAGTAGTAGTAAGTAGTAGTATGAATATTACATAGTTAGTTTTATGCAGGCTACGGTTCGGGCATCCGAAACGTACAAACAAGTATGACTTAGACGTCTAACATAAATCGCGACTACAGCTTTATATATACTAGTACACACACACACACACACACACACACACACACAACACACACACACACACACACACGCACGCACGCACGCACGCACGCACGCACACACACACACGGTATATATATTTATATATACATAGGTCTATACCTATACATGTACATGAGCATGTGCATGTGCATGTGCATGTGCATGTTCATGTGCACGTGCATGTGCATGCATTATATCTTGATTATTACGTATTACATTATATGTATGCACACATGCATACGCATGCACAGGAATACATATAGGCCCTATACGTAATACGTATGTACGCTCATACCGCGAGAAGGGGTGCCCGCATAGTTTCCCCTTCATCTACCTGCATCAATGCCGCTTGCCTCTATCATATATAAATTCGAGAATCTCGTTAAACTAATAAATGATCCGCCTTTATTTGTTTACTTTGGCAGAATGTTGTACAATTACTGCCTTGTATGAGGGAAATTATCAGAGTAGTAGAATTATTACTCAATCCTTCGTATCTATGTGTGTATTTATGTGCGCGTGGTTGTATGCGTGCGTGCGTTAGTGAGCGCGTGTGTATGTGTTGGGTTTGGCATTCGTGGACATAACGCAGCAATTTCTGTTATCAACGCATGCAAGGCTTCCATGTCAACAATGGGAGCACATACCGGCCCCCTCTCATTCAAGCAGCAGGAGGCTGCATGTAATAACATGCACTGTAAATTGGCATTAAAATGAAAATGCGAATACAGGGATACGCTGTGATGTTCATCACACGGACTCGTCTTTGTATGCATAAGCCCTAATTTTACTTTGGGTGCATGTGTGCGTGCGTGCATGCGTGCGTGCGTGCGCGCGTGTGTGTTGCGTATAGCATTATCTCGCGCAGTACATTAAAGGCATACTTTCCTTTTGTGTATTGATCCTGTTATTCTGTGTTTCTTTCCATTGCTACAGAGATTTACAACAAGCAAGAGGTGGGGAACTTACACAGGGCCGCTAAAAAATTACCATCCGACTCCACGGAGAGTGAGTCGATCCAGAGATCGTCGGTGTGCGATATTGACAATATTGTCGCGCGTGGCTTTCCCCCAGAAAAAGTCGGTCCGTTATTACATCCACGAGCGCGATCTAATCTTTATACACAGATTCAACGCGATCTCTGCCAATAATCCTATTGCGGAGGAACATGTCAGTCACCGAAATTATCAGCGGGGGAAGTGAGAGGGTTCTGCACGGATATGGTAATTCGTAAATAGCGTATCACCGCGAAATCGCGTCTGAGCTGCATAGTAAGCCTATTACGAGGAGACGTGTCACTTCACTACTGAATACGGCCTGCCGGATTAGCGGCCAACGCTGCGGCTCTGATGTCGGCTTACAGACGCGTTATGTATATCTTTGCGTAACTCGACCGCGCCGTCCCCTCTCCCTCTCTGTCTGTCTCCCCCCCCGAACCCTCTCTCTTTCTTAACACACACACACACACACACACACACACGCGCGCGCGCGCGCACGC